GTATGTATACCATTTTATTTCTACATTATGTTTTCCTTGTGAAATTAGTGACCTAATGCAGTTAGCCTCACAAACTCCACTTTCTCTTATAATAACACCTCTGAAGGGGAAGCATGGGAAGATGTTTTCATAGCGGGAGCGAGAATGCCTGCGACCACTCTCCTTCATCGTCATCACCATTAGCCACATACTTAATGACATATTTTATTCATTCTAGAGTGTATATCAGGTTTCTGTGTTATTTATATTGTTTATTATGTCATACTATTAGATGAATTGTGATAGACATATAAGCCGTAGAGTTGATATTACCATCATATTGAAGTGTATTTTGTCATGCCTCCTGAGAGCAGGAATTCTACTGAAACGGATTAATGGCATTTCAGTTAATTTAAATGAAGAAACTTGACTCACCATACAAACAAATCGGGATATGAACAAGTGATTTCCACTTTACGGCGGTAGCCGGAAACCTAACTTGCTGTATAAGTGCGGCCTTACTGTATATGTAATATCTGATACATGCATTGAAAAACAGCTTTCATTCACTTGGCTTCACAATTTACTTTTTACAAAACATTTTTTTTCTGGTATTTTGGGGAAGTGGAACTGATTGGAAAAATGATGAAGTGAAAACAGTGGTAAAGGAGATAATACTTAATGTATGAAAGTGTTTGCAATATCATAATTATAAAATAACTACAAATCACATAGATAAAGAATTGAGAAAGGGTGAAGGAGTGTTAAAGAAGAGAAAATAAAAAATAGGCAAGGTGATGTCAGCAAAATTTGCTGAGAATAGATATAAGACAATATGGAGAGATAAATATGATTAAGAAATTGAGGGAAAAAATGAATTTGATCAAGTGAGGTGGTGAAATTGTGAACAAAGATACTAAGTAAAATAAACTTATTCACATTAGGTTTTACCATTTGTGTTTATAAGGGTCGTCTTATGAACAGAATATATAATGGTATAAGTACACTGTATGTATAGTTTTGTACTGATATTAAAATTTACAATAGTATGTACAAAAATTAAAAAAAAAAATATTCAGCTATTGCAAAATGCATAATGCTGAGCATTTTGGGCAAGGAACATGAGCATAAAACTTATATGGGCTTAGTGTTTTCCATACTATAATCATAATATTCTGCTCACATTGTTACATTATGATGAGTTTAAATTTATCTGACTTTAATATAAAATATAATGGTGGTCAAGGGTTTGTGAATATCAACGTTACTTGTATAGTAATTGTTTTAAACACACCAGCTGTCTCCCACCAAGGTAGAGTAACCTAAAAAATAAAAAAAAAGAAACATTTTTATCATTCATTCAGCAGCTATCGTGCAAGAAGTATGCAGACATCACAGTTCTGATAGCCTTCCAAACTGCAATATTCCCACCCCTCCTTCAGGTTTTTTAATTTAACTATAAATACAGTACAGTATATAGATTTTAGCCTAAATACATTTCTATATTGACAACATGATGCAAGAATGCTGATTACAAAATAAAATTTATTATACACAAATAACCCGCACATAAAAGAGAGAAGCTTACGATGACGTTTCGGTCTGACTCGGACCATTTACAAAGTCGGACCGAAACGTCGTCGTAAGCTTCTCTCTTTTATGTGCTGGTTATTTGTGTATCGTTCTAGTCAGAGTATTGTGCCTTTTTTTTGTTAAAATTTATTATTATTGTACTTTTGTAGAGAATATTTATAAAGCTGTTAAATGTAGATCTAGTGCTTGGACACATGAGATTTGTTAGAATGAGTGAAGAACCAATAGTGAGTGAACAAGTAATAAAGTTGAAAGTTTGAAAAACAGTTTGGGTGATGGGATTATGACTGATACTAAAAGTAAGTAGAGGTAATTAGTATAGTTGTTAAGATTCTTCACTGTATGTGTATGTAAGATAGGTGCCCAAGGATTGGCAAAGAGCATATGTAGGTTTATGATATACACCCCATTCTTGGACCACTAGTGATACATGTGCAGGTCTGAATGCTTCATGGTTGTGTTCAGCCACTGCATTGCCAGACATGCTGCAGACTTAGACAAGGCTGTGTGATATTGCCATAATTCTTTATTGCATGTATAGATGGAATTGTAAGAGAATGCTAGCATTTGGGAAAGGTGTGGTGCTGAAAGATAATAAGTTAGATTTCAAGTGGAAGTTATCCCATAGTGCTGGTGAGAAATTTTTGAAGAGAAGCTACAGAGGGTGGTAAAGGCACTTGAAAGTACATATGTACAAGGAGGAATTTAAAGGTGAGTGAAAAAAAAGAAGCTAAGGAAAAAAAAGTTGAAGCACTGAATAGGCAATGGAAGATGAGATTTCTGAGTGGAAGGAAGGAAGGAGTCTGGAGAAAGTAAATTTATATACTATACTCAACTATTGTACCATTAAATGAATCTATGAAAAATTACATGCAGGATTCTTGAGGAGTCTGGAAAGAAGTGTGTCAGTGGATGTTAATTTAGAAATGTATCAAGAGTACAGTATATGGTTGACGGTGCTTTTAATTGTATGTGAAGCATAATCTTTTAGTGTTGCAGAAGAGATGAAGTTTTCAGCAGGGCATGTCATGACTGAGATCTGTTTCTTGTGTAAATATTATTCAGACAATATAGAAATTAGAAGTATGAAATGTGTAAATAATGGAATACTGATTGTTGATGTGGTTTAGTAACTACAAAAAATGAATAATTTTTTTTTTCAACAAGTCGGCCGTCTCCCACCGAGGCAGGGTGACCCAAAAAGAAAATACTTTCATCATCATTCAACACTTTCACCTTACACATAATCACTGTTTTTGCAGAGGTGCCCATCATACAACAGTTTAGAAGTATATACATATAAAAATACACAATATATCCCTCCAAACTGCCAATATCCCAAACCCCTCCTTTAGAGTGCAGGCATTGTACTTCCCATTTCCAGGACTCAAGTCCGGTTATATAAAATAACTGGTTTCCCTGAATCCCTTCACTAAATATTACCCTGCTCACCCTCCAACAGCTCGTCAGGTCCCAAATACCATTCGTCTCCATTCACTCCTATCTAACACGCTCATGCATGCTTGCTGGAAGTCCAAACCCCTAACCCACAACACCTCTTTTACCCCTCCCTCCAACCTTTTCGAGGACGACCCCTACCCCGCCTTCCTTCCCCTACAGATTTATATGCTCTCCATGTCATTCTACTTTGATCCATTCTCTCTAAATGGCCAAACCACCTCAACAAAACCCTCTTCAGCCCTCTGACTAATACTTTTTATTAACACCACACCTTCTCCTAATTTCCACACTCTGAATTTTCTGCATAATATTTACACCACATATTGCCCTTAGACAGGACATCTCCACTGCCTCCAACCGCCTCCTCACTGCAGCATTTACAACCCAAGCTTCACACCTATATAAGAGTGTTGGTACTACTATACTTTCATACATTCCCTTCTTTGCCTCCATAGAAAACATTTTTTGCCTCCACATATACCTCAATGCACCACTCACCTTTTTTCCGTCATCAATTCTATGATTAACCTCATCCTTCATATATCCATCTGCGGACATGCCAACTCCCAAATATCTGAAAACATTCACTTCTTCCATACTCCTCCTCCCCAATTTGATATCCAATTTTTCTTTATCTAAATCATTTGATACCCTCATCACCTTATAATTTTTCTATGTTCACTTTCAACTTTCTACCTTTACACACACTCCCAAATTCGTCCACTAACCTTTGCAGTTTTTCTTTAGAATCTCCCATAAGCACAGTATCATCAGCAAAAAGTAACTGTCAATTCCCATTTTGTATTTAATTCCCCATAATTTAATCCCACCCCTCTCCTGAACACCCTAGCATTTACTTCTTTTACAACCCCATCTATAAATATATTAACCATGGTGACATTACACATACCTGTCTAAGACCTACTTTTACCGGGAAGTAGTCTCCCTCTCTTCTACACACCCTAACCTGAGCCTCACTATCCTCATAAAAACTCTTTACAGCATTTAGTAACTTACCACTTATTTCATATACTTGGAACATCTGCCACATTGCTCCCCTACCCACTCTATCATATGCCTTTTCTAAATCCATAAATGCAATAAATACTTCCCTACCTTTATCTAAATACTGTTCACATATATGCTTCATTGTAAACACTTGATCTACACATCCCCCACCCACTTTAAAACCTCCTTGCTCATCTGCAATTCTGCATTCTGTCTTACCTCTAATTCTTTCAATAATAACCCTGCTGTACACTTTTCCTGGTATACTCAGTAAAATGAATAATAGTATAGGTTAATAATGTGAGTTATAAATCTAAGGTGAGTGGAAGGTGATATAGAAGGCACCTGTCAAAGGAAAGATTGAAAGGTATTTAGAGGTAATGCATGAACATTCACCAGACATATGTGAGCTTGTTAGGTCAAATGAATGGTTCATAAGCTTTGATATTTTATTGGACTGTGAGCATGGTAATATCTCTTGAGTTCATTAAAACTGCCCAGCCAATCTTTAGTTTTAAAATGTTAAGAAATACTATGCATGTACATTGATAGCTGGATAGGGAAGTTGAGAGTCAACAATGTACTGTAGTATTAGTGTTCATCTGGAAAGGCAAATACAGAGCAAGTTATGGTGAATGTATTTTCTTCTTTGGATCACCTTGCCTTAGTGATAAATGACATTAAGTTAAAATCTATTGTTCTATATGAAAATAGTGAAGTGGTACCCCGAGTTTTGAACTTATTTCATGCCAGAATGGTGTTCGAGTGCCAATACTGAACGAATTTGTTCCCATAAGGAATAATGTAAATTAGATTAGTCTGTTTCAGACCCCCAAAAATACACTTACAAATGCACTTACACAAATACACTTACATAATTGTTCGAGTTGGGAGCAATTCAAAACTTGGCGTACCACTGTATTTAGTTTTCAGTAATAATGATATTAATTTGTGTCTAGTTAACTTGGAGGAAGCTGGGCCTGCAAAAAAGAAGGAGAAGAAAGTCCAAAAGATTGTGGAGCCTGTGGTGGGAGGTGGTGTTAAAATCTCCACTATTGCCCCCAAGAGACCTCATGGAGAAAAAGCTACAGATGACTTTCATTATGAGAAATTTAAAAAACAATTTAGAAGGCACTAGGTGCAGTTTACACTTTGTTCTATTAGTTATGTTTAATTGTAAAAGTATCTAATAATGTTGAAGTAGGTGCTTTAACGGCACAGCTTTTAAATAAAAGTTTCAGAACAGAAGTTGAATTACTTTTACTTGGCAGACCAATAAAATAGTGTAAACAGAAGTATATCATGTTTGAAGTTATCTTAGAGATGTCACTTAACAGTACATTGTAATATTCATAGGAGGACCACTAAATCCATAGGAATCATACAATGCCTAGAGTAATGAAAGGCATTTGAGCTCAGTTCAGAGCTGAGTACAGGTTCAGTTTCTTAGATCATGAGCCCCTCACCAGCAATTTAACAGTACAGTATTTTGTTAAGACTTTATTTAGAAAATACGTACAGTAGTCTCTAACATATCATACTTCATGTTTTTAATATGTCGCCATTTAAATTGGGAATTGGCCAAGCCTTCTCATTGCAAAGTTTGGGAAAATTTGAAATTGGGCTGCAATCCACATGAGATATTTCCCTTCTGCACCTAAAGCATGGCCATTTTAGGTGAAGTCCTAAGCTTGGCTTTCAGTTGTAAACACCCACCCACATGATCAGTTTGTGGGTGCATCCTGTGACATTCTCTCGTGTTAAACCCTCTGCATTTTCGATCTTTCTATCACCAAAATGGAATACTAGTGATGGCGAAGTAGTTTAATCATGAAACTAGTTTGAAAACCTATTTCAAAAAACTTCAGGTGATAGGTGGTCATGTGTGATAGAGAAAGTGCATGCCTTTGGTGTTAGAGAATCAAAAATTTCTTCAAATAGAAACAATGACATGAAGATAAGAGCTTATGCAATGAATAATCCAGATTTTAATATGCTGAAAACAGTGTCAAAGAGATCAGATATCAGTAAGACAAAAAAGAAGAAAAGTGAACCTGGATTCAAAGGAACAAACTATATTGTTTAAGCCTCAAACTGTCAAGACATATTTGTACCTTAATTTTTGTGCCTTCAGATATGTCACCTGCCAATATTTTAGGCTTCAGTTTAACTGTTTAGGGCTCCTACCACCACTTCAAGTCTGAGGAAAAATCTAACACTAGGTGGGTCCACTGCCTCACTAGCATATGTATTCAATAAAATCAGGACCTGATGTGCCATCACCAATGTCCCTACCAGTATACACATTGTGGAACTGGCTGAAGATGCCTTATTCATTCCAGTTTTATTAGTTTCATGTGGAACTAGTCAAACAACCAATGCTTTATGTACATTTAACCTAGGTTAACCCAATAAGGTGAAAAAACGCAACTCGTTTTCACATTTTGAAGCGTATTACAGCTTTAAAAAAATTTAACATAAGAATTCTTTGTACATATATTTTTTTTACAAGGGTCTTAAGGGCACACAGGTATTATGGATACAATAAGTACATTAGATTTAACCCAAGATACTCTCTCAGGGAGGCTTCCTGATGCTGGGCAGGGCTCTTAGGCTTAGGAATTGGACCTGCCCTCCCCTTCTTTGGATTAAACCTAATTGCTTCTCATTTCTCAAGACACTGCATGACCCCTATAAATTCAGGTCTTTATCCTAAGTATAAATACAGTATAATAATAAACCCAGGATAACCTAGAAAAGATTATCATCATCATCATTATCCCCTGGGACTTTTCATAGACCTACGAAAAGTATTTGATACAGTTGACCATGACCTATTGCACCTAAAACTTGAACATTACGGGGTCAGAGGACACTCGATTACTTAAAATCTTATCTTAGCAATAGACACCAGTATGTATACACAAATGGTGTTACCTCCACTACACAACCTGTTTTTGCTGGAGTCCCACAGGGTAGTGTCCTTGGCCCACTTCTCTTTCTCATTTACATCAACGACCCCTCAAGGAAGGTTCCTTGATGTTGGTGAGGGGCTCTTGATTTAGGGACTTGGATCTGTGCTCCAGTTCCCCGAATTAAGCCTGAATGCCTTCCACATCCCCTCCCCCAGGTGCTGTATAATCCTCTGGGTTTAGCGCTTCCCCCTTGATTATAATAATAATAATAATATAATACATCAACGACCTCCCAAATGCATCTAAACTCCTTATGTCATCTGTCACTCCTTATGTCTTCTCTCATCCAAACCCAACTATACTTACAGACGCTGTAAGCGACAAACTACTAAAAATATCTACTTGGATGGCAACCAACAAATTTACTCTCAATATAGACAAAACCTACCTCATGCTGTTTGGAAACAGAGCTTCAAATATTCAGCTAAACATATCGATAAATGGTTTCCCCATTTCAAGGCACACACAGGGCAAATTTCTAGGTCTCCACCTTGACTGCAGTCTCAGATTTCAGACCCACATACAGAGTGTGTAAAGGTATAAAGTTGAAAGTGAACATAGAAAAGAGTAAGGTGATGAGGGTATCAAATGATTTAGATAAAGAAAAATTGGATATCAAATTGGAGAGGAGGAGTATGGAAGAAGTGAATGTTTTGGCTGGCTGGCTGGCTGGCTGGCTGGCTGGCTAGATGGCTGGATGGCTAGATGGCTGGCTAGATGGCTGGCTGGCTAGATGGCTGGCTAGATGGCTGGCTGGCTAGATGGCTGGCTAGATGGCTGGCTGGCTAGATGGCTGGCTAGATGGCTGGCTGGCTAGATGGCTGGCTGGCTAGATGGCTGGCTAGATGGCTGGCTGGCTAGATGGCTGGCTAGATGGCTGGCTGGCTAGATGGCTGGCTAGATGGCTGGCTAGATGGCTGGCTGGCTAGATGTGCTGATGGCTGGCTAGCTGGCTGGCTGGCTGAGATGGCTGGCTGGCTAGATGGCTGGCTGGCTAGATGGCTGGCTAGATGGGCTGGGCTAGATGGCTGGCTGGCTAGATGGCTGGCTGGCTAGATGGCTGGCTAGATGGCTGGCTGGCTAGATGGCTGGCTGGCTAGATGGCTGGCTGGCTAGATGGCTGGCTGGCTAGATGGCTGGCTGGCTAGATGGCTGGCTAGATGGCTGGCTGGCTAGATGGCTGGCTGGCTAGATGGCTGGCTAGATGGCTGGCTGGCTAGATGGCTGGCTAGATGGCTGGCTGGCTAGATGGCTGGCTGGCTAGATGGCTGGCTAGATGGCTGGCTGGCTAGATGGCTGGCTGGCTAGATGGCTGGCTAGATGGCTGGCTGCTAGATGGCTGGCTGGCTAGATGGCTGGCTGGCTAGTGGTGGCTAGATGGCTGGCTAGATGGCTGGCTGGCAATGGCTGCTATATGAGTGTGTAGAATGCTGGGTGGCTAGTTGTGGCTGGCTAGATGCTGGCTAATGTGGCTGGCATGGCAGGCAGTTATGGTTTGTAGTAAGGGTGGAGGCAGGAACACTCATACAATAAACTAATGCAGTAGTGACATCTGATGAGCATCTCTTATCACTTCACTAATGACAGTGGTGACATTTGATGAGGGTACACTGCCTTTGCTTTATTTGTTTTCAGCTTATTTATTTATTTATTTATTATTAATTTGGACATGATACATAGATGTACAAAGAAATACAGTGGTTAAGTGTAACATGCCGAATGCCCTTGTATGCAGAGCATTATGGGCAGGCTTAAAATTAACTTAAGATTAACTAAGCAATGATATATTCAGTGGTAAAAATTATAGTAAACAAATAACAGTTAAGCACAAATGAGTATATTTCAAAGTCAGGTCATATGGTCATTTGCTGAGTTGCTGTGCATTCAATAGAATGGAGTATTCTGTTAGGTAATGTAATTAAAAAAAAAACAAAGTTTGATAGGGTCACAAGTTATACATTTATGAGATACAGTTATTCAGTATTTATTTAGTTGTGGGTGAGTAAGTGATTTTTAAGAAGAGACTTGAATTTATAAACAGAGTGTTTCTTTTATATTCACAGGTAATGAATTCCAGATTTTTGGGCCTTTTATGTGCATTGAGTTTTTACATAGTGTGAGATGGACACGAGGAACATCAGAGTGATCTGTGCCTTGTGTTATGGTCATGTGTTCTGTTGAGGTTGGTAAGGAGACTTTTGAGGGGAGGGTTTATATCCGAGTTAAGTGTTCTATGTATGTAGTAGGTACAATAATAAGTATGGATGTTTTGTATGGTGAGTAGGTTTAGAGTTTTGAATATTGGTGGAGTATGCTGCCTGTAGTGGGAATTTGTTATCATTCTGGCTGCAGCGTTTTGTTGGGTAATTAATGGTCTGAGATGGTTTATTGTTGTTGAGCCCCATACACAAATTCCATATTTGAGATAGGGGTAAATGAGTGAGTGATATAGGGCCAGGAGGGTTGACTGTGGAACATAGTACCGTATCTTCGATAGTATGCCTACGGTCTTGGAAATTTTCTTGGAAATTTGTTGTACATGTGTTTGAAATTTGAGTCTATTATCTAGGTGGATTCCTAAGAATTTTCCCTCTGTGAGCTTTGTGATAGGTGATCCGTTTATCATTATGTCAAGAGGGACATCTGTAGCTCTGTTTCCAAACTGAATGAAGTAGGTTTTGTCAATGTTGAGAGTAAGTTTGTTAGTCATCATCCAGGTAGATATTTTCTGTAATTCGGTATTTACAGTATTGGCTAGCATGACTGGGCTTGGATGAGAGAAGACATATGTAGTGTCATCTGCAAATAGTGTGGGTTTGAGTAGCTGCGATGCATTTGGTAGGTCGTTTTTGTAAACGAGAAAGAGAAGAGGGCCAAGGACACTTCCCTATGGGACACCAACTGTAATTGGCTGTGCGGAAGAGTTTGCTCCATTTGTGTACACATATTGGCTTCTGTTGCTGAGGTATGACTTTAGGTAGTTGAGGGAGTGCCCTCTTATACCATAGTGTGACAGTTTTATATGGAAAAAATCATGGTCAACTGTATCAAAACTTTTACGTAAATCAATGAAGAACCCCGGTGGGACTTCTTTTTTCTCGAGTGCAGTGTATATTTGTTCTAGCATGTGTATAATAGCATCATTCGTATTTTTATTAGGCCTGAACCCAAATTGACAGGGGTTGAATATATTGTGGGAGATGAGGTAGGAATAGATTCGCTTATGAATTAATTTTTCGAAGATTTTAGAGAGGGTGTAAGTTGGATATTGGC